CTCCCTCCCTCTCCTCTTCTCATCCCTGCCTCCCTGCGTTATTCTGCCTAGAGCGTAGCACAGAGAGATGCACGCTGACAAATGTGAAGGCTAACCACGCGTGAAACGCGCGTAGATGTCGCGGCGTCACGTCTCTTAACGCGTGCTAATCCCGCTCAGGCGCAGCTCAGGCGCGTCACCTCCTTTACGAGTTCTTCGCCCACGACTCGACGGCGAGCTTAGCTCCCCGCGCTGGGCCCGCTCGCCCACGGCGGCCCCGGGCCCGCGCCTGCTGGGGGGGTTCCTGAAAAGGCGCGCCACATCCCGAGAAAAGTCCGTCCATAATTGCTGTGACCAAGAGCAGCCTGTGCCAAAACATTTTCGTCTCCTGCTACGCCCCGTCCCCAAGGCCCCCACGGCTGGAGCAGAAAGGGGTGGGGGAGGGGGGGGGGAGGCTGCCGCGCTCGCCTCTGTAAAGGTACGACTTGAGCTGGCTTTGATGACCGTGCATAATTGGCCAATGGCAATATTAATATCGCTTTGGGAATAACTCCTCTTGGTCAAGTGGCCCGTTTCCCACATAAAATGTCTTCACTTTCTTTATTTTTGTTGTTGTCCGCTTTTGTAATTTTCCATCCCGCTCGCCCGTTTATCGCTTTGCCCTCCCTCAGGGTCAACCGCAGCATAAGGGTCCCCGTGCTCGCCCGCCGCGCACACTCGGAGGTGTGTCGCCACTTCTACCCAGCTAATTTGCCCGCGACGCCTCCGCGTAGCCAGGGAGCGCCGTGGGGCCCGTGTGGGGCCCGTGGGGCTCCCGCGGCGGCGGCCCCATATCGGGAGCCCCCATACGGGCCCCCTGCCCCTCTGGAGGCCCCGGCCGGGGGGCCCCGGGCGGCCGCGCCTCGGGGGGCCGCCGAGCCTCTCTCTATTAGCTTGTCTCCTTGGCGGCGCGCTCCGTCGGCGCCTTCTTTATGCTGTCCCCGCGCCGCGCGTGTTCTCCGGCCCTCGCTGTCCCCGCCACGAGAGCGCGGCGCTGTGTGGGGGCCGGGCCCCGCCGCACGGAGGCAACCAGACGAGGATGGTCTCGTTTTCTACGCTGCATGGGCCAGGGCATTTTGTACAAGACCAGACGTCGTTATACACTTTTATACGAGCCCAAACTCTTTTTGAAGTTCAAGTTGAAGAAAGCTGCTGGAACTACAGTTTTGTGTAGTTAGACTGTACCGGCATGCAGGCGCGTGGAGCGGGTCGGCCTATCGCCACTAACCACGGCGCCTGAGGCCCCGGCTGCAAGGCCCTGGGCGGGAACACTCAGGCCGTACTTCAACTTTAAATAGGATTAACGCGACTGCTTGTTGATAGCGAACAACTTAAAACGGGGCCGGATAGTTCGTTGCACAAACTGCCAAACCTTTTACCCGGGAATCAGCGGAAATCAATGAGAATCACGACGGGAATCAATGGAAATCAACGGGAATCATGCATTTCGGGAATCAGGTGCACACTTAAATTCGGATTTATGGCCCCCAGCAAAAAAGAGGGGGGGGGAGAAACACTCACTTTTAGTAATTGGACTGTGAGGTGACAGTCAAAAACAGTCAAATGAAAAGTAAGTGTGTTTCGCGTTTAGTGGGCTGCTTGACGAGTAGTAAGTCGTTAAGGATGTGAGGATACTAAGTCCAGTAGAGCACAATCAACTGCGTGGACTCGCCGGCAGTAAAGTGGCAAAGTAAAAAAAAAAAAAAAAGTACTAGTTTGGGCGGCGTCGATATATTTAGTTTTTTGTAAGTATTTGTGTGAGGGCGAGAAATGACCCCTTAGGGCCCCCGCCCCGAGCAAGCAAGCGCAGCGGCGTAGCGCTACAATTATTTTAAAGCGGGACTGTAAAACGATTAAATGACGTCATAATCACGGTCCGGACGTGTGAATTGGGAGGGCCGGCGAGTCGTATTCCTCGGCCCTGATTAGTGCACCTGGTTCCACACTGTGTTTGTACAGGCGGCGGGGCGGGGTCGGCCGGTTGCGCAATAAGCGCGCCGCCGCTTTACGACTCGTATTTAATTGATTCTTAAGGAGGCGGCCAGTGAGTCACGGCTCGTGGGACGGGGGAGGTCGTGGCGGGGTTGGACGCCAAACTCACGTCGCGATAGGGTGGCATGGTCACGCGGCACTGCAGTGTACTTTCAAAGACTTTCGGTAATAAGAAAAAACTTAATTTTTGGGAGTATAGTGCTGTTTCTCTTTCTCTCACTTTTTTGGAGGAGCACAAAACAACAAAAAGAAAAAGAATGCCTTTCTGAGCGCGCGGCTCCAGGCAGTTATGCCGAGATTAGTAATCCAGATTCTACATTTTGTTTAAGCCCGCCTGCTCGCGAGGCACGTTCCGCACGCAGAGGACCCCCAAAAGAGTAATAACCGAGGGGTGAACAACTGGTGTATTCCTCTGTCCCCGAGGCTTGTATTACCTAATATTACCGTATATTACCACGTATTCCATGTATTACTTTGTATTACCATGTATTACTTTGTATTACCTTGTATTACAAGATTTTTTTTCTCTGTAATACCTTATATTACTCTGTATTACCATAAATTACTTGTAATATCATGTATTTCTTGTAATACCTTGTATTCCCTGTATTACCTTGTATTACTTGTAATACCTTATATTACTTATAATACTCTATATTACATTGTAATACTTATATTATTTGAATTATTGTAACCCTCTGTATGACTTGTATTACCTCGTAATACCTGTGATACCATGTAGTATTACTTTGTATTACCTTGTATTACGTTGTAATGCTTGTAATACCTTGTAATACTTGTAATACATTGATATTACCAGTATTACCTGTATTACATATATTACCTTGTAATATATTCCTCTGTCCCCGTCTCAGCTGAGTTGTTCACCCCTCGGTAATAACTCACCACTATGGGAACTAAGCCCTGTATAACAAGGGGCCGTACACAAACAACATCGTTACGGATGTAAAGGAAGGGTTAGAAGATTTTCAACAGCCCCATGACAAAGTTAGACTTACCCAGTAGAGGAAAGTTTCCTTTGCGGGGATGAACATCTTAACCACCACGCCCCGCCCCCTCCTCCCCGCCAATTTCTATCTAAAACGTCGACTTTAATGCCATACCCAATCCTTTAACAATAAGCGTGATTTTGTGCGTACGTTTTGAAGTTGTAGAAAAACACGACCTGATCAACCCGATAGTACGGGTCGGGGGGAGGGGGGAGGAAGGGAGGGAGGCTGTTGTATGGTAATTAGCAGAGGTGCGTGCCGTGGGCGGGGCCGGGGGCCGCCTCGTACACGGACGGACAAATGAACAGCAGCGGCGGCCGGCTCGCCGCGCCCCGCCACGCCCCGCCACGCCCATGCTCACAGCTACCGGGCGGAACCAATTGAGTGAGTACGCCGGGGAGGGGCGGGCTCGCGCCGCTACTGGTGCTCGTTACGCGCCGTGGAGGGGGGAGCGCGCCGCGCGGCTACTGGACTCGTTACGCCTGGCGAGGCCCTGGTGCAGTGCAGGTGGAGGGGGCCCCCTCCCTCCAGCCCCGGGGCCTGCGCGCGCGCGTGCCCCGCGCCTGCTACCGGAGGGCGCAGTTACGCACGCGCCCATCGTAAATCTCTCGGCAGCGGCGCGCTCGTCCAGCAGCAGCACGTGACCGTTGTCCAGGAAGAGGGCGGCGGCGGTGTTTCTGGAGCGCGCGCGACGCCCGTGTCACGACGCCGCGCCCCGTGTCGGCAGCTCCGCCCGTCACGACCGCCCGGCCCGCCAGGGCCCGCCTCGGCGGTCAGTCATCCTTTGTGGGCGACAACACTATAACATCCGGCGCTCTGTTCGCCCGCCCCGCCCTGAGCCGAGCTGAGCTCGCCACTTTTATTGTGTTCGCCGCCTTGCCCGTTGTTTTTTGACGCGTGAGTTTCGGTATCCGCGAGCGACCGTCAGACCGTCAGGAGGGCATTAACAAAATAAAAACAAGTCCAGGAAACGGGCGAGAGAGTGGCCCCGGGCGCCAACAGCGACCTCACCTGATATTGGGACTCATCATCCCTGCCTTGCTGTACCTCAACCAAAAATCCTCACAGAAAAGACGTATCTCTGCCATCCAAACAATGTCGCGGATTTCATCTCGAGGAAAGCGATTTTCCTCGTCGCCTTTTGAACGGCGTCCTTATTCACTGGTCACGCGTGGAGTGGTCGAGCCGAGCCGGGCGGCCGGCCGGGCGGTGCTTAGGCTGAGCCTCGGCATCTGGCCCCGTTCGGTTCCCAGGCTGTCTGGTCCCGGGCCGGCCGGTGCGACGTCCGCACGCCCCGCCCCGCCCGGCGCGCGCCCTCCGGCGATGAGTGCTTGAGTCAGAGGCACGCTCGCTCCCACGCGCTGGTCTGGTCGGGAAGGCCTGGCGGGCCCAGGGCCCAGCTCCACTGACTCAGGCGTAAGTCACCGCCGCGAACGTCCGCTTGGCC